GCTGCTCTATGCCCCTACCAGGACCTTGAATATTTGGCTCTGGAGGTAAAAGCACTTTGCCTCCTTTCTGAGGTGTTGCCGGGGTGTGTTTGGTGATGCTGTTGCCCGCTTGTGTGGCGTGAGGACTGAGTGAGAAGGCTCTGGCCAGCTCCAGCCATGGAGCAGCAGTTTGAGCCAGACGGGGTCAGAGGTGCCTTAGGACCCCCAGGTCTGCTCATCTGGAAGGGAGCACCTCCAGAGGGACCCCATCCTGTTGGGAGCTGTGCTGCCAGGACGCCCCATCCCTGGCAAAGACGGGTGCAGCTCCTGCAGTGAGCTGGGTCGCTCCCCGTCCTGCCCTGGCTTTGGCCAAGGTGCCTTTTGGTGACCAAAGGATCACTCAAAGTATTTCCCTTTCCCAAGTGCCTGTGATGTCCTTGTCACTGCCCAAGTTGCTGCCAGGGGGAGCAGGGGCTGCCAAAAGCCATGCCAGGGCTGAGCGGGGTCATTCCCATGGGATGTGCCCTTGGACATGGCACTCGGGGCACCCACAACACATGGCCCCGGTTACTCTCCCTCTCTGTTTCCTCTCCTCCCCTCCTCGCCTCTTGCAGAGAATTGAATGTGGAGCCTCTAAGAGTATTTTTGTTGCAGAGAGTATATCTTGTGTTAGCTGTAGTAGATGTTATAACGACTCTGTGCACCTTCTAAAGATTCATGAGTTCAGGTTGTTGCTTGTAATAACCAACTCTTGCTGTACCTGAGTTGTAATTAATATGTCTGATGTACAATTAAAAAGTCTTTCTTTTTTTAACATCACTGGTTCTTCATAGTGTCAGGATTATTCAGTTTGGGCACTGGGGGTCAGTGTGTGCTCCCGAGCAGATGCCCAGTGCCTGGCAGGATGCAACTGGTGCTGCTGGGTTGTGCTTTGTGTGTGTCCTACACAGCCCCCACCCTCACTGGTGCCCTGTTTCTTTGGAGTTAGCACTGACATGTCGCCTGCTTGCAGAGCTCAGACCATTTTCCTTCTCGTCTTCTCTTTCCCGCACCTGTGAGCCTTCTCCATGCTATCTCTGATGGCTGATGGGGCCATGCAAGCCCACAGATGCAACTTTCATGGCACAGAATGCCCTGTACCATTTCCACGAGCCTGAGACGAGCAGGGGACAGGCAGCAGAGCATCACTTGCCATCGGGCTGGAGAGAGTCGCTGCAAGCCCACGACGGGCCCTTCCTCCTGCCCAGATTGTGCGGACACTGTGACAACACGAGCCCAGGTAAGAAACACTCCTTTTTATTCCCTTCTCAGTCACATAAATAACTCAGTGTTGTTCCATAAGTTATTACACCTATTAACATAAGCATCTTTTTACAAGGTTAAGCTTGGCCTGGGTAGGAAGCCCCCGTTCAGGCGTGGGGGAGGGTGCAGGACCAGGGTGATGCTCTGGTGCTGCTGGCACATGGTTTCCCTGAACAGCCGTGGATGTGCCCAGCTCTCCCAGCAGGGCAGGATCAGTGTGTTTTGGGTTTTCTTGGTATTGTCAGTGCTGTTTGTGGCTCCTGGTAAATGCTTGCAGCGTCTGTTCAAGTTTGCTGTTTCTTTGGATTTTATACAACTTAAACCAGTGCCTTGCATGGCAGCAAGAGAGAGCTTGAGCTGGCACATCCAGGGGTGCCTGGGCACATTCTGCTGCCTCCGGGCTGGGGAAGCAGGAGGCAGTGCAGGGCGGGGAGCAGGAGGCCAGGCAGGGTTTTGAGCACAGGCTACAGGTCTATGTGAGACTGGAGGGGTTGCCTGAGACAGCCCGCAAGAGCTGCAGTGTCCCAAAACAAGTGCCTCTGTGTATCCTTATCCACAACACGCAACAGCCCTGGGTGCACAGAGCCCTTCCCTGCTTCAGCCTCCATCACCGCCGGGCGCTCGGTGCTTCATGGAGCACAGGGTCAGGCCAAGGAGGGGGTGTTTTGGGTGCAAACGAAATTTGCAATCCCGAGCTTCTGTGTTATATCAAACCCGTGAAGATATAAGCTGCCTCCTGACGTGCTGAAAGCGGGTTCTTTCTGCATTTTTCAGTTAGTCCCCTGGGACACTTTCCTCTATCCACTTGAGGTAGAGAGGGTTGCCTTGGTCAATAGGCAGGCTGATGATTTCGGGTATTTCAAAGGGGTGGATGGATCTAAAGTGGAAACAGGCGCAGAGGAGCAATGTCACTGCCAGCCTCGTGGCAGAACAGGCACAGGAAGCGGAGGTCTCTGCTCCCAGCTGCGCGCCCCAGCCCTGTCCCGTGCTCTCCGCTGACTTCAAAGCACCCGCACCTCCTTTTGGCCATGTGAGAATTTTGCTTGGAGTTTGGTGTTAACCACAGCCAGCAGCTGTCTGCCAGGGGCCCTGGCCCAAAGCTCGCTGTACTCACTGCTCGGTGCTTGGGAGACACAGGAAATCCTGCCAGGAGGCAGCCAGGGAATGAGTTGCAGTGGGAGGAGAAGAACCCCTCGTTATGCCCTGTACAGACGTGTTGGTTGAAGCCCAACAGTTGATATTCCCACCATTCTTTTTATTTTGCTGATGCCATCCCTTTTTCTAGTTCCCAAGGTACATTAGGAGGATTTAACTTCCCTCCCTGGGTGGGAAGGGGCTCAAGGAACCCAATTCCCAAAGCCCAAGCATGAGATGACAGCGTACCTTGGATAGGAAAACCCGAGTTCCCACGGAGCCAGAG